CCTAGGATAGGGTTCCTTCTAATCTCGCAGCGGAGGATGAGGGTGTTACTTCCCTAGGGGGGGCCGCGGCCGCATGGGAGCCATTATTAGAATATCTTTAAATAGTAATTATTTTTAGAAATTGAAAATTAAGGTAGAGGTCTTTATTTTTATAATATAATTATCTATTCTCGTTTAAGGTTTTAAGGAAGTAAGGTTATCATTATTTATTATTAAAGAAGCAGAATCCGGATCTTCGAAGACGGTAACGGTAAAAATGGTATCGTCGATAGCGAAGTCGGAAGGATGGATAAAAAGATAGAAATAGTCTTTCTTTCTTTTATAGAGGAAAATAGTTGCAGAGTAGAAAATCGAGATTTCTCGAGGCATAGGCGTATAGAGGAGTTAAAGACGAGTAGAACGGTATGTAGGTTGTGTGCGTAGTTCTTATATTGGTAAAGATATAGAAGAATGACTATAGAGAAGAAAGAAAGCTTCTTCCTCGAGGGAAGGCTTCCTTCTTATAGACTTTCTAAACTAATTAGTAGTCCTATAGACTAGCAGTTTATTCCGTCGGATTCTTCGGCTTCCGGAGATTCCGGAGATGTTCTATTTATTCATTTCCATTGGGAAATAGCCGAAGGGGGTAGTAGTAAAACCGATGAGTTAAACGAGATTAGGTCTCCACTTTTCATTTTGACCCCTGTCTACCCGGGAGATTTCTTCCACCCTGGAGCTCTTTGAGGCTCCCTGAGCCTCACTAGGTTTTTAGGCCGCCTTGGCAAGCGTAGTAGACTACCCTCTACGAGGGTTAGGGTTATATAGTAGAATTTTAATTACGAATATATATAATTGAATAAAATCGATAAAAATCAACCAAAAATACTAGGTATATATATATATTATATATTACCTATATATAGTTGCTTATATTCGTAAGGTATAATATAGACCCGTAAATCCGTTATATCTATATAATATTATATAATATATATAGTAAGCCTAATAATTATATTATTTTGTAGATTGTTAGTATAGTAATATTAAGGAAGGAAGGAGTAGTAATTAATATTTAATACGATTTTTAAAATAATTAATAAGTTAGTAGGAAGGTATTCAGTATTATATTTACTAGAGAACGTAATTTTTTTATTCGTTTATAAGATAAATAGTTTATAGCGTTTTAATTAGGGTAGGCCTAAAATTGCTAAGTAGGTTAGGGAGAAATTATATACTAGGAAGGTAATATTTTCTATATGATATCTGATAAGGAGGTTTGTAGTTAGCCTTTTAGTAATAAGGCTCTTTATAATACTATTAGTTAATATAAATTTCTTAGGCTAAGTAAATTTAAAAGTAATAAGGTTATTTCGTTTTATAAAAGTACGATTTAGAAAAGTAAGGGCTAAATAGTTACTATTTACAAGTATAGTATATAATATTTTATACGGTTTAAATAGGAGATAAAAAGAGAGGAGTATTGAATTTTAAGTAAGATTATTTAATAAGTTAATAATTATTATTTCTAGTATTTCAGTATTATTTTAGGGTTTCTCTTATATAGAATTTTATTACCTCTATAGGCAATTATTTATAGAGTTTAACTATTTCGCTAATTATTAGTATTTAATATATTATATTCGTCTTTATTACTTTTACCTCCTTTAGTATTTATAGCGTGGAGGTTAGTATTATTATAATTTCGTTGGCCGGGGGAGGGTTAGTTGGCCTTAGAGTAGGAGTTATGCTTTTTACGGCCGTTATGGCTTCTATAGTTTTAGTAATGGCGGTTATTATAAGAATTAGTAAATTATAGGGGTTTGCTACTATAATTGATACTATTCTTATAATTATATATAATATAATTATTTTAACCGTACTTTCTATGGAGGCTTTTTCTTATTCGTTAGTTAATAATATCGGAATAAATAGCCTAGAATATATAGATTATATTGAAATTTATAGTATTACCGCTTTAATTAACGGTATAATCTTTAAAACTGTTTTTTCCTTTAGCGGAATTATTGTTATTACTATTCCTACTAAATTTATTAGTCTATAGTTAATTACTTTTAGTATAATATTTATTATCTTTTGAATAATATATTCAATCCCTATAGAGGGATAATCATTTTTTAAAATCGTTATTTCCTAAGTATTAGCGCTAATTAAGAATTACCGTATAGAATTTAGTAAAGATTTTCTTCCGGAGGTAATAAATTTTTATAGTTTTATTAAATTGGTAGCGGTCGGCCGTTTCAATAAATTCTATTTTAAAATCGGCGAAATATTTATTATTTTGTTTGAGTTCGTTAAGGCGTTGTACAGCGTTGAATTTTAGGTTAATATTATTATAGTAGAAATTTAGGAATTTAATAAATTCCTTACTAATTTACTATTTTTATTTACTAAGTACGTTAGGCTTAAGTAAGATAGTTATTAGATCCTTTCTAAGGGTAATAGTTATTTTAGGGCTTAGTAAATAATTAGTATAGAGGATTTTAGTACGTTCGTTAGGGAAGTAGAAGTAATTTAGCTCTTATATTATAAGGATTTTGTTTTTCTAAGTAATATACGCCTTGTTGCGTAGAATAGGGTTCTTCTGATTAATTATAAATAGGTTTAAGTTAGAGAATAGTATTTTTCTAAAAATAATTATAATTTTAAAAAGAGCCCCAGTAGTATTAACCGTATAAATAACCCCCGGGTTGTTTTTTAACGAATTTCTGTTTCCTATACTTAGTTCTCTATTGGTACGATTGTTCTTGTTTCTGTTTATACCCTAATTGGCTATAGTAATATTTAATTTCGCTAAAGTATTGTCGAGGTTCGTTTTGAGTTTTTTATTTTTAGTTCTTTTTATATAGAGTAGGCTTTTGAATTCTATAAATTAGTTTATAAAATTATTATTAAAAAGGTTGAATATTTGGATTATTTGAGTAATTGGGGAGATAATGGAATAGAAGGTATTATTGTCCGTTAGGATAATAATATTAATAAGGGACTTTTTTAAAGGTTTAGAGGGGTTTAAATTTATTTTTTATAATAGTATTAATAAAATACTTAATAGTACGGTTATACGGTATACTTTTTAATATAATTAAATAGACGTTTTTATTTATTAGTGGGTTGGAGTTTTTAGGTTTGTTATTTTGAGGAGTATTTGGGATGTTAATATCTTTGTTTAGTACTTTTAGGAGGGTACCTTCGTCGGTAATAATGATATTATTATTAAGAATTATAGGTTCTATTAAATTTAGCGGGTTGCGGGATTTTTAATAATTAATAGTATTGTAGGATAGTATTGAAATACGTATTTCTTCCTTATAGTAAAGTACGTTCGTATTATAATAGTAAAGTATAATTAATTATTATAGGGTAAAGCGATATTAAATATATAAGGTAGAATATAATTTGTATAATTATATAAGGAAGAAGGGAAATTATAGAATTTATACGTAGCGGTTTATCCTATATAGGCGAGGATGAGTTGTATCCTTAGTATATATAATTAGAGTTTCCGGGAGTGTATAGTTAATCAGGGGGCCTGCGTAGGCCTAGTAGCCGCTGTGGCGGTAGTGAGGCTAAATAGGTCAGTTAATTAGAGAGCGTGTATTAACTGGCAATTATAGCCGTAGTAATGCCGCGACCAGATAACAGTCATAGGCTAGCCCTGTGACACGAATATAGTATAGTAGTAGAGGGTAGCCCGGCTATAATTATTAAGGTATATGTTTAGTAATATTTATAGCTCGGTAGGTATAGGTCTTAGTATTTTTAGACTATAAAGTGTTTATATTAAAGTTCTCATTAAATATAATACTATTAATAGTGCGGGTACGGGAGACGGCTATATATAATAACCTAATTGTAAAATCCTTCTTCGAAATATTGTAAACGACTTTATTTAATATTTAGCCCTGCGCTTTATATATAGTAATAATATATATAATAATTAAAGAGAATTAAATTTTTCTATAATTGCGAGCTCCTTTCAAGAATTTTCGAAAAGACTAGAATATTAATAAAGTACGCTCTAAGTCTTAAATATCAGGGTAATTTAAGTTTTTAAAATAGTTAGATCCTCGGTAATAGTTAAAATGTACTATAATAATAAAAGGGGGGTCGTTGGCTTTAGAATGTACATTATATAACTAATTACTATCCTATATAATATTTATAACCGTACTAATTAAGTTATTAATAACGCTAGCCTTAATTTACAAGTTTTTAATAAGTGTAACTCTATTACCTTTAATATAAGTAAATTTGTAATATAGATTACTAGTATTAATATACGTAACGTCTTTAGTACTATTGGGTTTATTAGTAGTTTTAATAGTAAAAATTAGATTTTAAAGCTCCTCTAGATATTTAAAACTATATTTATTAATTATAATATTAGTTGGGTAGATTTAGAGAGTGTTATTGAATTTGGTTTAATTGGGTATTGATAATTTAAATTTAATATAGTTAGATAAAACCTTCTAATTTTAAATAGTAGGGTTATTATTTTATAGTCCTTCTAAAGCCTTCCGAAAGTTTTTCTATTTAATACCTTATTAATAGAATATTTACTTTAATTCAATATTTTAATTAAAATCAAAATAATAAGTTCGACTACTACGCTGTATAAAGTCTAACTTCCCCACTAACCGCTTTCTTCTTTATTTATTTATTTTATTAGAAAGCCGATTTAGATTATTGTCTTTTCTAAGAGTTTCAAGAGGAGTATGAGGATTATTAGCGAATTCAAGGGGTTTTTAATAGAATAGAGCTTTTTACTTGATAGGTGCCAATTAAAAGAAATCCCTAAGAAGAAGGATATTAGTACTACTAAACCTTTTGTTCTAATTTTTAATAAAGGCTTGGTAAAGCCGGGCATTAATATAATATATAGTTCTTATACTTAGTATAGACTTTTCATTAATAATGAAATATTTGCACAATTTAAATTTATTCTATATATAAGTAAAACTAGTACCTTATCAATTAACTAATCCTCTATTATTAAAAGGAAATTATACAAGGGAATAAATAGTATAACTATTAATATTATTAGCTACAACGCTGGTAGGAGTAGTACGAATAATAGGGGTTAAAAGGTTATATATAGAAGCTATTTCAATAAGCTTATAAGATAGTAGTCGAATAAAGTGGGATTTCCTAGTACTACTACGGCCGTCGATTTAAATAAATAATTACTCAAAACTATTTTTATTCAAAATAGCCTAGTAATAGTCAATAAATCAATTAAATACTATACGTTACTTAATATTAAAAATATTATATGAGCGTTGAATAATAGGCTTTAGATTAGGAAGGTTAAAAGTATTATAGTGAAATTTCTAAAATTCTCCTACTAATAGAAGCAATTCCTAGAACCAAGTATGGTGTTCATACTAATTATAGTTAATATCGATATTACAATAGCCTAAAACCTTGCTTTTAAAGTTATCATTATCGGGGTTAATATAACGGTTAGGGTTTTCCTTTACAATATCTTCCTAACTAGGCTTATCCGCTTCTTCTTTTTAATTAGAGGGTTTAAACTCTTCTTCTAATTTAGAATCTGGAAATTTACTATAGTAATTTTCGGGGTACTAGAGCTTGTTAATATAGGTTTTAAGGTATATTATATAAATATTATTAAGGTTACTATATTGGATATTATTAATCATATAAAGATTAATAGGCCTTTAATAAAGGTAGTATAATATAAATTTAATTCTCTTAAAATTTTAATAATTATATTTATTATCCCATTTGTATATAGGGAAATAATTAATAACTCTCTTTTTAGTACAGTTAAATAAAGGTCTAGGTCTTAATCTTATATAATTAAAGGTAGTAACAAATTCGAAGTATGAAATTTAAAAGTAGCATTCCTCTTAATTTATATACTTTTAATAAACTAAACAGGTTTAACGAGCCTTATTAGTAGTATTGATATAAATACCCGCAGTATTATTATTATTATTACTACTAGTAGTTTCTAGTACGGCTCTTCTAAAATTAGGCTACATATTTACCTTAGAATTAGGGATAATAGTACTTCGGTTATTTTAATTGCGATAATTTACTATAATTACTACGCGTATACTTTCTTATAGAGGAAGGTTAAATAGTAAATAATGGATTTTTTAAATAGACTAATTCTATTTAATAATAAGTTTATTTATAGACTTTATTGTAAATTATTTGACTAGGTTTCTAGCTGTGATTTGGGGTATTAATTCGGTAGTAATTTTATTATAAGACTTTATTCTCTTCTCGGCCTTTAAAATATATTTAACTATATAATTAAATATAGTATTTATATTAGTATATAATTGAATATCCGTATTAGCTATTTAACCTAGGGTGATAATTAAATTATATTGGTTAAGAAAATTATTATTTCTTCGGCCGTCGAAAAGCTAGAAACTAAGATTAATACGGATAGTAAATAAAGGATATTTATAGAGTTTCCTAATAAAGTAAAAACGGTACACCTTCTATTTGGGAATTAGGAGCTTGAAGTCTGGAATTTACCGGTTATTGTGAAGGGTTTGGATTTAATAGTAAGTTTAAAAATAATAAGTATTACTATAAATATATCTTTATATATAGTTAATTATATTTAAACATTTTTGAAATATAGGTTCTATTGGACTTATTTATATATTATATAATATTATATATATATAACGGATTTACGGGTCTATATTATACTATACTAGTATAAAAGGTTGATATATAGGTATTATTTATTATATATATGTTGGGCCTACTATATATATTATATAATATTATATAGATATAACGGATCCACGGGTCTATATTATACCTTACAAATATAAGCAACTATATATAAGTAATATATAATATATATATATACCTAGTATTTTTGGTCGATTTTTATCGATTTTATTCGATTATATATATTCGTAGTTAAAATTCTACTATATAACCCTAACCCTCGTAGAGGGTAGTCTACTAGGCTTGCCAAGGCGGCCTAGAAACCTAGTGTGGCTTAGGGAAGCTTAGGGAGCCTCAAAGAACTCTAGGGTGGAGGAAATCTCCCGGGTAGATAGGGGTCGAAATAAAAAGTAGAAACCTAATCTCGTTTAACTCATCGGTTTCACCACTACCCCCTTCGGCTATTTCCCAATGGAAATAAACAAATAGACTATCTCCGGAATCTCCGGAAGCCGAAGAATCCGACGAAACAAACAGTCAATCCATAAGACTACTAATTAGTTCAGAAAGTCTATAAGAAGGAAACCTTCCCTCGAAGAAGAAGCTTTCTTTCTACTTAATAATCACTCTTCTATATCTTTACTGATGGGGTAATACCACGATGCTTATTGCAATCTGTAATATTAAAGAAGAAGATGTCAGAGGAAGAAAGGCGTAGCCGAAGGCCGCCCCGCACGGGAATCCCTTTATAGGAATTCCCTTATCTTATCGCTGGCCCACCTTATAGGATAGGTCTATACGACTGGGCAGCTAGGTACGTGAATACCCACGTACCCGGGCCTGCTAGAGCCTCTAATAATAATAGGTATAACTACTAATTATACCCAGTCTACTCTAATCAATTAAATTTAATTATATATATAATATATTCCGTATTAAATCCCAGCGCTATAAAGAGAATACTATTATCCTTAATAGAATAGCCTTATTTCCGTAAACGCATCGAACGTCTTAATCCTCCCGAATCTATACGGTCCTTTTTATCCATAAAGCGTACCTTCTATTATTTATCTATATATAAGTAGGCTATTTTATATTTCCGTTTATTGGGCCGGTATTTCTAGTAGTCTTCTACTATATCCTTTACTTTACTTAGATTCTTTGTATCCTTCTAATAATTCTCTTAATAGTTATATCCTTTCTACTTTATATAATACTAGAGTTTCCTATTGACCTATTTGTAGGTAGTAATCTTTTTAATTTTATAGTATAAATCGGACTCGGGGTTTAAATTGCTTTAAAAATCTTCTATTAGTCCGGGCGGAGGGGCTAATCGTCCGAATAGATCGTTATTATTAGGAGCGGGAGAGAGGTGTACAATAGATATTACTAAATATATTTTCATATTAGCCGGAAGGTCTAATTTATAAGCAAGGCAACCTACCTTTTAGATAATTTCGAAGGGGCTAAAACATTATTATAACATTTTCCGGGATAAGTAACTAGGTAGATAGTACCTATAATAGAATTTAAGAAAGACTTTATCGCCTACTTTAAAATCTATTTACCGGTAGTTAATATTATAATAAAGTTTAATATTAGCGATAGCGAAATTTATAGCCAATTAGGCTTCCTAATAAATATAGTCCTTAATAATCGGATTTTCTTTAAACGAATAATAATTTTAAACGCCGGTAATAATTTTTATTAATCCCGGTAGCTTATAACCGAATAAATATTCGTAGGGAGAAACTTTAATACTTTCAATAAATATACTATTAAAATTCTATTAGAGGGAAGGGATAATAAAAAGCTAATTATAATTAAAATTATAGTAGAAAGCGTAAAAGTAGATAGTTATTTCTATAATTTAATTCTTTTGCTCAACGGCGCTATTTCCGGAAGGGTAGTATATAATAGTTATAAGGAGTTTGGTTCCTATAGCTATTTATATTCCCTTTTAGAAAGCCGATATAAATTTACAGTTTTAGTTAAAAATAATATTAATTAAGAATCCCCAATCGTATAATAAAAATATACAAATTATAATAATTCCCTATTTAATTACTATATATTTCTCGTAGCTAGGGATTAATAGAAATCTCTTCGAAATTTTATTAGTAACGGGCATTAAAGTATTAAAGGTAATATAATTAAATATTTATTATAGGATATCGGTAGAAGATACTTCCGGGAGCCCTATAATAAAGTCGATAGATATAATTTGTATAGGAAGGGCTTCTTCTAATTTAATTAGCTAGTAATTTCTAATTAGCAAATTGCAGTCGGTTTAATTTAATTAATAAATTAAATAATATTTAATATACTATTTTAGTAATTGTACTTTATTAGGAAAAAATACTCCTTTTAAATCGTATATTATCCTATTGCGGCCGAAGTGATATTTATCGTTGTAAATAGCTTCTAAAACTTCCTTTATATATTTATAGGGAATATATAAATTATTAATCGTACCTCTTTCGGGTTCGGTTTATTAATTGTATATAAGGCCGTCCCTTATAAAGAAAGGATAGCCAGGCTTTAAAAAAATAATATTACCGTCCTTAGCGGTCTTTTTATACTCCTTTAAATATTCTATTACCCGGGCGAACTTTTTATTAGAAATATAAACCGCCGTATATACCTTTCGGTACTTTAGATCTATTTATACTTCTAAAAAGGTATACTATATATTATTTAGAAATAGAGCCCTATCTTCTATTTATATATTATTTGGAACAGAGATGTTATTAGGGTTCTTATTATTAGTAATAGTCTTTAAACGGCTTAGGGCATCTAGGACGAAATTAAACTTCCTAGGGATATAAAAGATTCTAAACTTATATTCGGATAAATATATAAATATATTAATAAAACGACGATTAGCTCTATTAATTAAGGATATCCTTAAGGATATCTATTTAATAATCCCCTTAATTGCGGAGTAGTCTATTAAAATAATTATAATTTAGTTATATACGTAGAATTAGGTATATAATTTCTTTATAGCCCAAACCAAATATACCACTTCCAATTCTAATAGTCTATACCGTATTTCAACCTTCGTCAATACCTTACTTAGGAATATAATAAATAAGACTTAGGAGGATAGAATAGAAATTCCCTCAGTCTAAATATATCCGTCCTTTAAATAAAAAACTATAACGCCGAATCTATATTCGAGGGAGCTATTAATTTATAAGAATATAATATAGTTTACAAACAAATAATATAATATAATACCGTTTTTATAAATAGCTTTCTATAATACTTTAAAAGCGGCTTTCTCGACTAGGGTAGCGGAGTAGTAGGTTTTTACACAATATACTACTCTTCGAACTAGTTTTCCTATTTCTACCTTACTTAATTTACGGCCTTCGGCTAGGAGTACGACCTTATAGGCTTAAAAAAATTCGATAATCTACGTGTAATATAGGATTAAATATTTTAAGAAATTAGTATTACTAATATATTATTCTAATACTTTAAAGTTATTTAGGAAGGCGAGGTTCGTAAAGGTTTGGATATATTCTTTTATTATTAATAGGCCGAAGTTATTAATATAGAAGTCTAATAATTCAACATTAGGGTAACCGAAGTAAAATTTCTTTAAAGATAGGACGATATTCTTTAAAATAAATAGTATAAAGATAGTATTAAGGTATTTAATATAATCCTTCACTAAGTCCGAGGTAATAACGATATTATTAATATAAATTTTAAAATAATCCTTATATTCCCGAAGTAATATATTTATAAAACATTAAATATAGGCCAGAATATTTTTAAATCCTATTTAAATAATAGTTAGTTATTTAAGGCCTCTATAGGTAATTAGGGTAAACCGATCCTTATACTTCTATTAAACGCCGAATTAATAGAAGAACAAAATTGTATTAATAATTATAATAATTATTTTTCTACGTATAAAGGTAATAATCTCTCCTTATAATAGTAAAGGGTAATTATTTAGAATCTTTAAACTATTTAGGACTTTTAAATCGATAATAAATTATCTTTTAGGGCTATTTTTAGTTTTTCGCCAAATAATAAAGACTAGATAGGCGAAGGGGGTAACATACTTTACCCAATCCATTTTACCTTATTTATAAAATATATTAAAAATTTCGTTAATAATAGCCTAATCCTTTTTACTAACAGAATATATCCGTACGGCTACCTTATAATTTTACTATCCATTTATTAAAAGTACTTTTATTATATCCTCTTCGGGTATATCCACCAATCCTCCTTCTTTCTAAAACTTAGGAAATTTCTTTATTAAACCCGCTAGAACCCTTAAAACTCTCCGGCTCCTTATAAAAATATATATATCTTCGTTAATTACAATTCTAAACGCCTTTTCGTCTATTTATATACCTAAAATTAATTATTTATTTAATATATAAGGCAAATTAACGGATTAGCCAACCTCGGGCGAAATATCCTCGCACTATACTTCTTAATTAATTTCTATTATTATATTAATTATTAAAATATTATTATTTATAGGAAGGATATTGTAGAAACTAAATTCGAGGTTAATATTAGCTAAAATAGAATAGGCTCAGCATATAGCTTCCGCCGCCTAAATAATAGTTATAGAAGGGTCGTTTTCTATAATATTTAAAATTTGCATAATTATAATTAATTTATAAATATTCGATTATAATATAGCGAAGTAATTATCGGCGATATATTTAGTAATAGAACCGATTTTCTATTTATAAGAAATTATAATAGTCTAATTTATAATATTCTTTATTAAAGTTACCTTAGGGGAGCGTATATTAACGATTACACTTACTACAATATAGTAGGAAGAATTAAATAGGAAATTCCGTCCTTTAGGGAACCTAATACAATAGACCGGCATTATATATTCTTCTCCTAATTGTAGAACGACCTTCTTTTCTATTACAACCTTCCTAATATACCAGTTTAATAATTTAAATATTTCGAATACCGTACTAAAATTATTTTATAGTAGACGGACTTCGGCTTTTTAATAATCAATATATACGTACCTTAAGTATAGGAGTAAATTAGTTAGTAAAAAGTTAGGTTCTAATTTATTAATTACCTAATCCGCTACTATAATCTTTAATAATGTAAGATTTCCGTTAGGATTATATCCAGGGAGATAAATAATAAAAATTACCTATTCTATAAACTTAATTAGTTTACTATTAACTCCCTTAATTCTTATTAAATATTCCATAAATATTAAATACTTTAGGGTTTATAGGAAAGGTCGGCCAATAATAATCTTTATTACATTTAGATCGATATAGATTTCGATTTTTTTTAAAAATCGGGGATACTTTAGTAATAATATAGAGGTGAGTAAAACCTAATAACAGGCCTTTTTTAAATAGTTTATCTAATTAGGGAATAGCGGTTTAGATTTTAAAAAGTACTATAGAGGTACTATAAATATAATAAACAGGCTTAATTTAACTTTCGTACTTATTCGCCAGCTTGTTTTTATAGAGGTTAAAGTAATTAGATAAATTATTCTAGCTAATAAATATTTCTTCGTAATCTCTATACTTATAGAAGGTAGTATTATTAGTAATAATTAAAATAGAATTTACGTAGGTATCCTAAATATAATAGTCCGTAGTATAGTCTACTTTAATCTTTACTAAATTAAATACTATTAGGTATTTAGAATAAATTAATTAGCTACTATATATATAATAAACCGAGTTATCCGAATTATATCTATCCGAATATTCTTTAGTAAAATTAATTACCTCCTATACTTTAATTTCCTCTTAAATATAATATACACAATCCTTATTCGGGTTATAAGTACGATTATAATTATAATTATAATTACGGTTATAATTATAATCGGGGGTACGATTGCGGTTACGGTTATAATCGGAGGTACAATTATAATTCTTACCTTAATTATTAGTACGGGTTAAATTACTATTATAATTACAGTTATAATCATAATTATTATAGTATCGGTTAGCACTAGGGTTATAACTATAACTTAGATTATAATTGTAGTTAAAATCTCGGCTATAAATATAGGGCTAGCGGTTAATCGAGGGTATAGAATACCTATCCTTAATCATAGCAAGGAGTACAGTTTAAATCTTTTTAACTTTTTTGAAGTATATTTCGGCGTTGCTATATATAAGCGGGGGGCGAATAATAATTTTTATGTCCGTATTAAAGTTATTCTAAATTTAGATTATAATGCCCTATTAATTAGTACTATCCTTGGTTAAAATGCTTATAGCGCGTATAAAATATAATTATTTAAGAATATATATAGTAATAGCGTTTTTATTTTTATAAATATTATATAATAAGATTCTTTTAGTATTAAATTTCCAGGTAACTATAGTTACGTTAAGAATAAACTTCTTAATTAGAATTAAAATTAATGATTTAATAGTAATTAAGTTATAATATTTATTGGGTATTATCTAATTATATTACTATATATAAGCAGCGCCTTATAGGAATAAGGGTTATATACGGACTAGCTATTTGTAAATAGATTTATTCGGGTTGTTTTCTAAAAGAGTAATTAGTTAGTCCTTAAATATAATTATATTAGTATAGACAAAGTCGCTACCTAATTCGATTATTCCTATATCCTCGGGATTATTGGCGAAAGGATTAAAAATACTGATATTATTTCACTTAAATTTAATCTTATCTTCTTCGAAGTCTATTACTTTAAAAAAAGTAGGCTTATAATTTATAAAACGATTAGTATTACTAATAGAATAAAGATTATTACTGCCTTTATTAGGATCGTTATTATTAAAGTCGTTATTATTATTAGGATCGCTAAATGTAATTATAATCGGGCGAATATTAAGGGGAATAGGGGGAATACTATTTCTAGCTTTATTAGTAATATTAATATTAAATTTGGATAAAGGGAAAATATTTCTAATTTTACTATAAATATTAGTATTAATAGGGGTAGCGCGGATTAAATAAGCGATAGTAATAGGGACTTCCCTAATATATTCGGTAATAATGTACTTCGTAACCACTTTATTAAATTTATTATAAAATAAGTCGGGGTATATAGCAAAGTAGATATATTTAATATAAAAATCTTTAATTTCCTGAAGGTGCCTCTTATATATAGCGGCTTGTTTTTTTAATAATTTACGGAGGCTAAAATTACAGTCTTTTACGCCGTTAATAAAATTTATAAAATTCTCTGTATTAATTTCGGTATTATTATTAAGGGCGTTGGTAAAGCGGGGATTATAATAAATCTTATTAGAGGGAGTAAATTTATAAGCGTAAGTATATATATAGGGTAAAGGACTACCGTTATAAGTAGTTAGGACAATAGGTTAAATAATATACCGAATTAGGATTAGGTTAATAAAAACAGGTATAATTTTACGAAAGTAGGGATTACTTCGTAAATTAAACGGAATATCAATATAAGCTTCTTTATTAAAATTCTTAATAATAGGCTATCGATAAGTAGAAGGACCTTCGCCGGGATTATAATTAAAGTTAATTAAATTAGGTTTACTATAATAAATAGTAGTAATATAGGATTAGTCTAATAAATTATCGGAGAATCCTTTAAGTATTTCTCTATCGAAAGCCTTTTTTTTACCCTTAAGAAATTTCAGTCGTAAGGCGAGGGCGGCTAATAATTCTTTATAATTAATTAATATATTAATTTTAAAACTATTAATTTATACAGCGAAATTATCGATATAAATTTCTTTAATATTAATTATAGCTGAATTTTTTTAGAATTATTTATAAATCTCGTCCTTTATTTAATATAAATTAACATTTAAGTATTTAGTTATTATATTTATATAATTCAAATACTTCTAAACTTTCTTATTATTAATCTATTTAGGAAGATCTAAATCGTTGGTATCTAAACCCGAATTATTACTACGGCTAACGGTAGCGGTATTCTAATTATTACGGGGGGATAAGCGTTTTTACAATAATATTTTAAGAAGTACGAAATTCTCTGGCAGGTTAATAATAGAGGACTAATATAATTTCAAAGGGGATAGGGTATTCGTTATATTTAAAATAAAATTATTAATAATATTGGGCTTAGGTTAAAAATAGTTAGTATCGCGCTAGACGGATATTTGGATTTGAATAATATTATAAAATACGCTATTATTATAAATCGGATTATTAGGGTAGTATTAAGGTAATATTAATTGGCTATTTAATTATTCGATATTGTATGTTGAGGGTATAGATGGTTTGCGAGGCGATTGTCGTATAATTAACGGGTTGGGAGGGGGGTTTTCGCTAGCTATAATAGTGGGTGCTACTAAATAAACTATTAATATAAATTTATCTTGCTTACAATTAAAAGGTATTTAAATAAAAAGATTAGGGTAATAGTAAAGGAGAAATAAATAAAGATCTATTTCTAAAAATATTTTATATAAACGACCGATAGTTTTAGAAGGGAGAGGAGGAAGTAATAATTATTTAGAAAATAAGTAAATCGCGGGGTAACCCTTTATATTAAAGATTAAAGAAGTTCGGATTAGGGTAGTACGGGGGTTTCTATATATTCGTTCAATATAAGCCAATACGAGTACGATAGTATAAAGTGAGGAAGCGCAGTTTCTACAATACTATTTAAGCAATACGCGATTAATAGATTATTGGGAGGTAATTATAGGATTAACGTCCTATATAAATAGGAAATTATTTAATCGGATTATAAGGCTCGCAATTTATATAATCGGCGAGTTTAGTAGAATAGAGTAA